TTGAGTTCTGGCCCATTTTGAGAAGCAACGAGATCGACCGATCAGACAAGTCAAAGCTTGTCTTTCGTCTTCTCTTATCTTGTTTCTTCTTCCTTCTTTTTTCCCAAATCTTCAAATCCCTAATTTTCGATTGACGCCATTTCTGTTCAATAAGTGGTATCAGAGCCAACCCTTGAAGAAGTTTTCTACTGCCAAGGTTGCGATCCAATGGTGTCTAATTCGTTCGGTCAAGCGACACTCAATCATCCGCCAATCTTCACCGGCGCTAATTACACAGCATGGAAGAAGCGCATCAAGCAATTCATGTGGGGAATCGATGAGGAGCTATGGCTCATTGTTCAAGATGGCCCCATTGACATGAATTCCGATGAGCAGCATATGTGGTCTGCTGCGCAAAAGAAGAGTGCGCAACTCAATCAGCGCGCCATGCATGTTCTACAATCGGCAATGACCTCTGACGAAGCAGATCAAGTCAAAAACTGCGAAACAGCTCAAGAAATCTAGCTTGCTCTTCAGAGCACATATGAAGGTACATCCAACATTTGTGAATCTCGAATTGACTTACATGTTCATGAATATGAAACGTTTACTATATTGGGAAATGAATCCATACATGAAATGTACTCGAGGTTTACTATTCTTATTAATAAGCTTAAAGGGCTGGGTCGTATTTTTCCTCTTAAGGATCTGAATCGAAAAATTCTTCGATCTCTTCCTAAGGAATGGCTGCCTAAGCGTACCGCCATAGAGGAAGCTCGGAATTTAACTACCTTACCTATAAATGAGCTAATATGGTCTTTGTTGAGTCATGATAATGTTATTAAACAGATGTCTATGGATGATGAAAGGCGTAAAAAAACTCTTGCCTTTCAATCTAGGGTTGTAGATTATGAATCAGACACTGAGTTAGGAAGAGATTTCGTAAAAGAATTTGCTTTGATCAGCAAACGCTTTCATCGTATGTTAAAGTACAAAAATGACCAGAAGCGGTGGACTGATGACTCTAAGTTTTACTAATGATCGTTTTAAAGCTTCTTCACATGATAGGCTGCCTAATACGCAGACCAGAGTTTCAGACACAGGAACAGGTGAACGAGAAGCCCAAGCATGTTATAAATGTGGAAAACAAGGTCACATTCGGGCGCATTGTCCACAGACACTTAAGGCCAAGGAACGTGCTATGAAAGCATCCTGGAGTGACTATGACTCCGAGGATGAGGTTTATCAGGTGGACGAAGAAGCTTTAATGGGATTTCTTCCGGAATCAGGTCATGAACAAGTTTCATTTTCTCTTGCTGCTGGAAATAATGGTGAGTCTGATCACAATGATCATCTTTGGTACCTTGGTAGCGGTTGTTCGCATCACATTAATGGTAAGCAAGATATCTTCTCTACTCTAAAATTTCAAAGAGGAGGTAAAGTTGTTTTCGGTGACGATAGTTCTGGCACAATTGTTGGAACAGGAACCATAGGAAAACTTCGTTCACCAATGATCCGTGATGTTCTTTTGGTTGATGGTCTTAAGCATAATTTGCTATCTATAAGTCAGTTATGTAGTAATGGAAATAGGGTTATTTTTGAAACATCTCGTTGTCTAGTAGAACGTATTAGTGATGGTGCCATTATCTTTGTTGGCACAGAAAGCTTGGGCATGTTAGTTTATCCAAATTAGCTTTATTGTCTAAATTAAATTTGGTAAGAGGTCTTCCCTCTCTTAAGGACAAGGCTATTTTTTTTTGTGAAACTTGTGTCTCTGGCAAACAAACGCGTAAGTCTTTCAAAACCAAACCAGACATTACCACTACAACAGTATTTGAGCTGCTTCATATGGACTTATTTGGTCCATGTAATGTCACCAGTCTTGGTGGGAAAAACTACGTTTTTGTTATTGTCAATGATTACTCTCGATATACTTGGGTGTTCTTTCTTGCTCACAAAGCTGAATCATTTGCAAAATTTAAAACTTTTTCTCTGTTGCATGCTGGCCAAATTAAGACAGTTAAGAGTGATAATGGGGGTGAGTTCATTGTAGAAGAATTCGAGACCTTCTGCAATGATACTGGGATCTCTCATATTTTTTCCGCTCCTCGAACTCCACAACAAAATGGGGTAGTTGAGCGAAAAAATAGGACCTTGATCGAATGTGCGCGCACTCTACTCTTAGAGTATAATTTGCCAAAGTACTTTTGGGCTGAAGCTGTTAGTACAGCCCGTTATGTGATAAATCGAGTCTTGGTTCGAAAAACCTTGCACAAAACCCCTTATGAGCTTTTTAAGAACAAATCTCCTACTATCTCATACTTTCATCCTTTTGGATGCCCCTGTTTTATATTAAACACTCGAGATCAGTTAGGAAAGTTTGATTCTAAATCCGACAAGGGTATTTTTCTTGGTTATTCAGTCAAGGGTCAGGCTTTTCGAGTATATAATACTCGCACTCAGAAAGTGGAAGAATCTGTTAATGTTCGTTTTAATGAGATTCCTCCTGTTGAGGATACTTCCAATTGTCCTTTAACATTTGATTTGTCTGAACTATTTCCATGATCTACTGAGTTTTCAGGAAATGAGCAGCCTGATATCGTGGAGACTAATTCTGAATTGTTATCTACTCTGGTACAAACTGATACTACTAGTTCAGATACTCAAGCAAATGCACCTGCAACTACTTCATCTGTCCCTCTCCATATTCAGAAACGTCATCCAGTTGATGAGGTTATTGGTAATATTAACGACGGTCTCAAGACTCGAGGTAAGTACATACCTGATCAATACGCGTATGATTCACAAGTTGAACCCAAGTCCTACAAAATTGCTTTAGAAGATGATGCTTGGTCTTTAGCTATGGTTGAGGAACTTACGCAGTTTGAGTATTTGCATGTCTGGGACTTGGTTCCAAGGCCCTTAAACATTACAGTCATAAGTACTAAATGGGTGTTTAGAAACAAAACTGATGAAATAGGTGTTATTATCCGTAATAAAGCTAGGCTGGTTGCTCAGGGTTATTCCCTAGAAGAAGGTATTGACTATGATGAGACGTTTGCCCCTGTTGCACGTCTTGAGTCAATTAGGCTTCTATGTTGCTTATGCTGCTTATATGGGTTTTCCCTTGTTTCAAATGGATGTTAAGAGTGCTTTTTTAAATAGGGTTATAGAGGAAGATGTATATGTTGCTCAACCTCCTGGTTTTGTTGATCCTAAATTCCCTGATCACGTTTTTAAGCTTAACAAAGCTCTATATGGGCTCAAACAAGCTCCTCAAGCTTGGTATGTCGTCTTACTGCTTTTCTTCGTGATCAAGGTTTCGTTCAAGGATCGGTTAACAAAACTATTTTTATAAAGCATGAGTCTTCAGATTTTCTTCTCGTTCAAATCTATGTCGATGACATAGTATTTGGTTCTACAAATACTAGTCTCTGCTCATCATTCTGTAAATCTATGCAAAGTGTCTTTGAGATGAGTTTAATGGGTGCGCTGAAGTTCTTCCTTGGACTGCAAATTAAACAAACCTCTTCAGGTACGTTCATTCATCAATCGAAATATGGGTCTAACATGCTTAGTAAGTTTGATATGACTGCTATTAACACTAGCCCTACACCTATGGCGACTAATGTTAAGCTGAACAAAGATGAAACTAGTATACCAGTTGATGAATCTATGTATCGGGGCATGATCGGCTCTCTGCTATATCTTACAGCTAGTCGTCCTGACATTCAATTTGCTGTATGTTTATGTGCTCGATTTCAATCTAAACCTAAGCAAAGTCATTTGACTGCTGTTAAGCGTATTTTTTGATATCTCAAGGGTACAATAGATGTGGGGCTCTAGTATGCTAAACAAGATCATTTTGATCTAGTGGATACTCAGATGCCGACTCTGCTGGTAGCTTAACAGATCGAAAAAACACTTCTGGGAGTTGTCAGTTTGTTGGCACTTTGCTAGTTTCTTGGTTCTGTAAGAAACAGGGGGCTGTCGCTTTATCAACTGCTGAGGCCGAATACCTGGCTGCTAGTAGCTCTTGTGCACAGTTGATATGGCTTAAAACTCAGCTTTCAGATTATGGTTTGTGTGTGTCTTCAATTCCACTTTTTTTGTGACAACACGAGTGTTATATTCATGACCAAGAACCCTGTCCAGCACTCTCGTACTAAGCATATAGATATTAAATATCATTTCATTAGAGACTTGGTGCAAGCTAAGACTATTACTCTTTCTTATATCCCAATTGAGTATCAACTTGCTGACTTGTTCAGTAAGCCTTTGTCTGCTGATCGATTTCACTTTCTGAGTTATGACATTGGTTTGCGATCCTTGTCCTCTTTGTCAGAGACGATTAAGGATCTTACTCCTTAATTATTGCCTTCCCTTTTGTTTTTATTTTCTACGATTTTGTTTGCCTTTTCTAGTTTCGTTTCCTTGTTTTTGTTTTCCTTATTGGTCTGGTATTTATGTTTGATTGCCTTGATTTGTTCGTTTTGTTTGGTAAGTTTTGTGGCTGTCTCGTTCTAGGGTTAGATTTTTGCTATTTATAGGCGCGTTCACTCTCTTGTCCCTTCAGTGTCTTCCCTTTTCCTTGTTTGCTGGTAGTAGTAATGGCTTTTCCTTTCCTGCGTACCTTCACTGGGACTTTGTTCTTAGATCCTATCCCAGCCAATGCTCATCGTCATGAACTGTTTTTTACAAACCAGCAGGTCCTGCCCTCCTATTACATTCAGATGCCTAAACTGGTTGAAGTAGGACTTGACGTGCGTCCTTTTATTCAAAATCTCGGTTGGAATTTTTTACTGAACCATCCTTTTCTACGGTTATCTGCCCTGATGTTGTTCGGTTTTTCTATTCCAATCTTCGGTTTACTCATCTGAGTTCTCGTTTTTTCACCACTCTGGTCTTTGGTCAGCTTCTCACTATTCTTGTGGCTGAAATCGAGCATATTCTTCATATTCCTGCTATAGGGGAAAATCTTGCAGATGCGTCTGAGTTCGAGCTGTTCAATTTTAATATTTCTGAGAAATTTATCTAGCTTTCGGGTAGACTTCCTGGTCCAAACCTTTCTATGCCCGTATCTGCTCTTCTGCCCTCTCTTCGAGCGCTTCATTTTTTCATCTCTCGCGTGTTCCTGCCTCGCTCTGGAAACCTGCAATTGATCACGCCTGTGGAGCTCTGGATACTTGTGCACGCTGCTCACGGGATCCCACTCGGCTTTGCTGATCTCTTTTTCGGCTCAGCCATATCCTTCTGTGATGTGAATGTTACTTCACCTCTCCTGTTTGGTCCCCTCATCACCACTCTGTTGTCTCGCCTTCATGTCAACCTCAATCCTTTCCGGGTTGTTACACCCTCTATTTTCCTCACTGCTGACGGCGTTATGGACCTTCTGGAAATAGCTGTTGCAGGGGAGAATGGTGACGATGATGAGATCCTGATCATCAGTAGTGACTCCGACTCTGATGATTCTGCTCCTAGGGATGATGATGATGCTCCAGAACTTGAACCGTTTGCAGCAGCTCTCCAAGCCCTCTATGGATAGGATTCTGACGAGGAAGCTGCCTGATCTTAGGGGGAGCAGACTTCTTTAGTTTGTCTCGTTGTGTTTGGTTTGCCTGACCAGGCTGTGGTCCTGAATTTTGGTTGACTTAAACTTGATTAGTTTTTGGTGTCGGTTTGCCTGACCAGGCTGTGGTCTTTTGGTTGGATTTTCGGATGCTCTAGATGATCTTTCGTGGTTTAAATGCTTTCTTTTGGCTGGTTATGTGCTGCTTACTGCTTGTCGCTGTTTGGGTAGAAGCTTGTCTGTTCGTTTTGCAGGATTCATCGGCAACTTGCAATTTCCAACTTAGGGGGAGATTGTTGATAGATGGAAAGTTGGAAATCCCTGGATCAAAGGAGAATCATCGCAGCATCTTTGCAGCTTACCTTTTCCATTCCTTTTCAAGAGCAACGGTCATCCTTCAAGGAAGCTATATATATCTTCGACCAGCATCTTGGGTGAATTACTTTTGTAAGAGGCGGTATAGGGAAAATTACTTAAGTGGGTTAATCAAAACAGAGGTATAGGGTCGGTTTGATTAACGGTGTAACGGGTCTGGAATTGGGATCCGGGGAATCGTTGTTGCTTTCGTTTTTCATTGTTCTTGGGTCTGCATCTTTTCTCTTCTTGCTTGATAGGTGAAAATCAATAAAAAAACAGAGTCTCCTAGACCTCAGTGAAGTACTGAGTCTATGACGAGGACTGACCCGGTAGTTTGGGGAATCTCGTTAAAATTGATCGTGTTCTTTTACCTTTGCTGTTTGTGCTCTGTTTTCTCTTCCCCAATTCTCAATCAGGTGCTTTGTCTCACTTTCAACTTCTGTCAAACAGAAGAAGATGACCGTTCAAAACAGGTTCCATGGGTTGAGATTTTAAGTGGGCCTATTTGTGTTTATTTCTTTTTGGTTATTTCTCGGTGGGCTTTTGAGTTCTGGCCCATTTTGAGAATCAACGAGATCGACCGATCAGACAAGTCAAAGCTTGTCTTTCGTCTTCTCTTATCTTGTTTCTTCTTCCTTCTTTTTTTCCCAAATCTTCAAATCCTTAATTTTTGATTGACGCCATTTTTGTGCAATACCGTAACGTTGCATAGGTTTGGAATCGCTTTCATATACTGGTCCTGGATAACAGGAAACTTCTGGAAAGCATCTTCCCAGCAATGACATGTTGTCACCTTGTCGTCTTTGGAGGTTTCAGTTGCTACGAGATTTTGGAGACCGGTGCAGCACTTGGGGTCGATTATGGGCTTGTCGCCTTCGGCGTATGGAAGGCATGGCATTGCATTAAGTTCGACGGTGCTGCAAGTGATTGATGCGGGGCTTCTACTGTCTGCAAGATGCATGAAAAGGAAAGCGGAGATAGCAACGATGAGGATGTTTGGGAAGATGATCATCACACTGTTCTTCATTGTTTGATGTTCTTGGTGTACGTTCGGGAGAGAAGTATTACGGGTGTAGAGTGTCAAGAACCAGTTGATCCCAATAACTCGAGTTGTTGGGAGAGGTTCAATCGTGTATCATTTACCACAACACTAACACGCCTCCTCAAACGAAAGCCACTCACAAGGGTTGGAAGTTTGCACATGTCTGAAGACAAGAATACCATGTGCTTAACAAATGGGGGTCATTGGGAATCGAACACAAAACCTCTCGGTCACAGAAGGCTCTGATACAATGTCAAGAACCAGTTGCTCCCAATAACTCGAGTTGTTGGGAGAGGTTCAATCGTGTATCATATACCACAACACTAACATAGAGATGGATAAATATTTCGTTTGGTGGTTTGGTGGAAAAAAGGGTGTATCGGGGTAGGCCATATATAGTCCCACAGTCATTGGCGGATCCATGGGGTGGCCACCCCAGGGCCCGGCCCAACCCTCCTCTGGATCCATAGTTACTATAGTCCTTATGAAATTTTTGATTTTAGATTGGGTTTAACTAGAAAAATTATCAAGTTGAACATATTCAAATCACTATACTAAATTTAGCCTAGAAATTTTAGCCCCAAAGATTATGGGTCTTAAAAAAACAATGAAACCTAAAATTCTAAAAAGTTAAAAACATAAAAGACTAAAAGAAATATGATGTTTGTTCCCTTACAAATTTACTAAAGCAGCTGGTGTGCAGAGATGGACACACAATGTAAATTGATTAGTCGATTGATTTATCTAGTGTTGATGCTGCTCGTTTCAACAGCTACTACGAAGAGAACCTTTTTAACAATGAAACATGTGAGAACTAATTTGCTCAACAAAATGAGTAATGAATTTCTCGCCGATTGCTCAAATTAAAATACAGTTGTGTACAATTTAGATTGAACAAAACTATAATCATTATATTTTTTTACGGTTCTAATTTTCTAATGAAATGCGGCCCAGTGCTCTTCTGTGTTCTGGATTCGCTGCTGCCCACAGTTTTGTGACTTCTTTGTCATTTCGGTAGCCGAGGCCAAGAACTTGTGTAAACAAACAGGCATCAAATAATAATTCATCAAGAACAAATTAAAATTCAATTTCAAAGGAGAAGAATGTGAAAGGTGTCTAGCTGGAGTATCAAGAAATGGAATTTCAGCTACCAGCTACTAGTCCGGATAACATTCTCCACCAGCTGGCACCTGTAGCATCTTTGCCGAATGGACCGTCAGCTCATACAGGAACCAAAAGAAAACGATTGGGACCGGGGACCTGCAGGTATCGTCACTTTGTTTATTCCCAAATTGAAACTCATGTTTGATTTCTACCTAATATAGTGGACAACAAAATGGTCATAGTGGCGGAGTCTAATTTTGATCTAGCTTTTTGAACCAAAGATATCATCCTTATTAGTGCTAGCAAAGGTCTAGGATTGAGTCACTAACTAATGGTTACTGACTTGTCAGTAACTAAACCAGAATCGTGGATCTAGGGACCGAATCATCATATGGCTAGGCTGCACGCGGAGTTAGGAGGGGCATTTTTGTCCAAGTTTTTCAGCATTTATATGCTGTATTTTAATGGAGGAAAGAGAAAAACATACTTTTTTCTTACTTTCTCTCTTCCAAACTCCTTTTTCCATATCTAAATCTCCTTTCTTCTCTTGTTCTTCATTTTCTTTCTCCAACAATCGACGAAGAAATTGCAGCCTCCCACCTCAAATCCGGTGACGCTCCAAATCCTTCTTCTCTAAAGCTGCTCCTTCTTTCTGTTTTTTCTTTTCTCGACTTCAAAATCAATGACGCTCCATATTGTCAAAGAAGGGATAGATCTAGGTGAGTCAGAGTTTGGATCTTTTGTGTTTTAATATTTGTTTGTGAATTTTCAATTCCGATCTTCCTCCTCTTTTTTGTTTCTTTTTGCATTTGGTGTTTTTGATTGTGGAGGAGTAAATGAGAGGAGACAAAAGACATGAGTTTTTTTTTCTCTTCCTCCTTCTGTTTTCCCCTTCTTTGAGAATATATATTGATATTACCACACTGTACCATATGGTAATGTGTGCTAACTAAATTTATTTTTATAGTCATGAGTTTTATCATGGTGGTAGTGGGTGGTAATCAACACCAGTTCTTAGAAAGAAGAGTTAGAAGAAAGTGAAGAAAGTCGTAATTATATATATATGACAAAGGCTAGTGTACACCTGACGTACACTGTACATCTGTGTTCACACCTAACAATTAATTATTAAATATAATTAAATTAATTATTAATACTAATTATAATTACAATCATACCAATTAATTAATTGTTATTTACATTTTAATCAGCGATTCTTATCCTTCGTTATTTTAAGTTTAGGGATTTGCTCCCGGCCACGCTCACCATAAAACTCTACCACTCTAGATTGCTAAATCCAAATTACTATCCATCACCATGGAATTAAAAACAACTTAACAACATATTACACGATGCTTTTTCATGCAACTGTTCATCATGTAATCACAACTCACTCTTAATTGCATTATATGTAAAATACGACGAATGCGAAAAGAATAGAAACATGAGACCAAGATTTACGTGGTTTCCCCGCTCAACATGAACGGGACAAGTCCACGGAGAGCTTCAAGCTCTCAGAGATTTCTTATTTTTGTTTTCTGGTTCTTAGGGTTAGCCGCAGCAGCTAGAACCTTATTTGTACACAAGAGGTAACAAAACCCTACTCCTCTACACGTTCAGCTGGAGTTGGGAGAAAAACAAAATGACAAATTACAAAGTGATCCCTATAATAATAAACCATGTCCCTAGGGATCACAACACGCCCCCTCAAGTGTTGGAGTGAATGTCAATAAGACCGAACTTGACGAAGAGATGATGAAACTGATCCATGCTTAAGCCCTTAGTAAACAAATCCGCATGCTGATCAGCGGTGGGAATCTTCGCGGGCGCGATTTTACGAGACTGAACGCGTTCGCGAACAAAATGGCAATCCATCTCAACGTGCTTAGTCCGCTCATGAAAGACAGGATTAGCAGCAATATGTAGAGTCGTCTGGTTGTCACAGGACAACGTAGTAGGGCCAGGCAAGGAGACCCCCAAGTCCCGGAGCAACCATCGGAGCCACAACACCTCACTGACCGTGCTAGCCATGGCACGGTATTTAGCTTCAGCAGAAGACCGGGCAACAACAGTCTGTTTCTTTGTTCGCCAGGAAACAGGTGAAGTGCCAAGCATGATGAAGTAACCAGTGGTGGATCGGCCAGTAAGCGGACAACCACCCCAATCAGCATCACAATAAGCCGTAAGGGTAAGAGGAGAGGTTGTGGGGAAAAAGAGACCTCGACCCGGTGAAGACTTTAAGTAGCGGAGAACACGAATAGCAGCAAGCTCATGAGCTTGGGTAGGCGACTGCATGGCCTGGCTGAGGAGATTAACCGCATATGTGATGTCCGGACGAGTGACCTTGAGATACAACAAGCGGCCTACGAGATGACGATAGGCACCAGGATCAGCAGCCGGAGGGGAAGGTGACCGACCCAACTGATGTTGCTGTTCGATCGGAGTAGAGCAAGGCTTAACAACCGTCAAACCAGTATCAGCCAAAATGTCCAAAACATACTTGCGCTGGTTAAGAACAATGCCACAAGGAGAACGCGCAACCTCAATGCCCAAAAAGTACTTAAGAGGACCAAGGTCCTTGATGGTAAAACGATCGTGAAGGAAAGCCTTCACCCGAGTGATAAACTCCAAATCGGTACCAGCAAGAATCACGTCGTCAACATAGATGAGAGCTGTAACAAAAGCAGTGCCGCGGTGATAGGTGAACAAAGCATGATTGGCGCAGCTGGGGGTAAAACCAAGCTCAAGAAGTGCCTGAGTGAACTTCTGATACCAATTTCGAGATACGTGACGAAGACCATAAATGGATTTATGGAGGCGGCAAACTCTCGTTTCGCCAGGGCGAGCAAACCCTTGCGGAATGGCCATATACACTTCTTCCTCGAGATCGCCGTGCAGGAAGGCATTATTCACATCAAGCTGGTGAATATGCCAACCACGAGTTACTACTACTGCCAACAAGCAACGAACAGTGACTAATTTGGCAACAGGAGTGAAGGTGTCGTGAAAATTCACCCCTTCCACCTGTGTAAATCCTTTAGCAACCAAGCGAGCCTTATAACGCTCAACAGAACCATCCGTGAAAAACTTCACCTTAAACACCCATTTGCAAGCAATGCATTTCTTCCCAGGAGGCAAGGGAACAATGGACCAAGTCCCATTATCAACCAGCGCAAGAAACTCGCGCACCATTGCATCGCGCCAATGTTTGAATCGCACAGCCTGATGAAAGTAGGTAGGCTCATAGGTAGCACTAATAGCAGCAACGAAAGCATGATGCGCGGTGGATAAACAGTGATAGGAGACATAATCTTTGAGAGGGAATCGAACAACGGTAGTGTGTGCAGCGCCAGGCAGCTGAGTCTCATAGTCACGCAAGCGAACAGAAGGGATTCTAATCCGATCACCACGACGAAGTGCTGGAGGGGCAGCGGCAGAAGTGAGGGTCGCAGCATCGGGACTGGTGGAGGGTAATGGTGAGCTGGTCGAGGGAGAGTGAGGCGAGAGAGACTCCGCAGCAGGTGCAACACATGGAGACGAGGGGGAATCCCCTGCATGCGGCGACGTTGCATGGGGAAGGAGGGCAGCTGGGGACGTGGGCTGCTCTAGTGCACTTGGAGTGAAAGAAGAATCCCCCAATTCAAGTTGATCATCCTCAATCGCAATGGGTCCTGCAAGTGAAGAAGGCGCTGGGATGGAAACAGTTACAGGAGTGAGATCATTTTCAGCAAGATCCCGATAGGGATAAACACTCTCAAGAAACTTCACATCGCGCGAAGTATAAACATGTTTTTTCTCAAGGTCATAAACACGATATCCCCGCTGTGTAGCCGGATACCCAAAAATATACCTGCTCGACCACGAGCACCAAATTTATGAAGGCCATGATGATTATCTCGAGCATAAACCAGACACCCAAAGCTGCGAAGATGATCATAGGCCGGTTCTGTTAAGACACACTCACCCCAAAATTTAATCGGCAGATTCGCATGAAACCGTAGTGCACGCGCGGTATCCAATAAGTGGCGATGTTTGCGCTCGACCACACCGTTCTGCTGAGGAGTGTCTGTACAGGAAGTTTGTAGAACGATGCCTTCCTGTTCATAATAAGAGGTGAGTTCATGACAAGAAAATTCAGCGCCATTATGAGCCTGAATTCGCCGCACCTGAGCACCGAACTGCGTCCGCACCATGTTGCAAAAATAGATTAGGTGTCGAGCTACATCCGATTTAAAACGTAACAAGAAGACCCATACAGCACGACTAAAATCGTCCACAATTGTTAAAAAATAATGTGCTCCTGAAATTGATGCCGTCTTATAACTCAACCCCAAATGTCAATGTGGATAAGCTAAAAAATCGACTTAGTCTTAATGGTGCTAGTCTCAAAAGAATTGCGATTTTGCTTGGCCCGTAAACAAGATCGACATGGCTCTTTATTATGAACGAAAGAACAATGTAGTAAAGTCTCCAAAGCATGCAGCTTAGCAGCGGACAGATGGCCTAGTCGAGAGTGCCACAAATCAGTGCTATCCAGAGATCAACGAACTGTGTGTGCGATCGGGTGCTCGGGCGCGAACAATCTCAGGAAGTACAGCCCATCGACAGATCAGCTGTCAACCGACTGACCGATAGTAAGTTGCATTGAAAATCAGGAACGTGAAGCACACGACGCAATAATAGATCATCAGACAATTTAGCCGTCCCAATACTGCGAACAGAGACACCTGTACCATTGGGTATTTTGACCTGAAGAGCCGGATTCGAGTCCAACTCCGAATCCAATAAAGAGGCATGGTTAACGATGTGTTCGTTACAACCCGAATCAATAACCCAAGAGGCATAATTAAGAGAATACGTACCTGCCATGTTGGATGATGGTTCGGCCGAGCCCTGGGAATGGTGTAATAGATCACCAGCGAGGAGAGCTTTAAGCTGATCAAATTGGCGGGCTGAAAGGCCAGGCAAGGGGCTGTCGGTGGCATCAACTTGGGCAGCTTGGGGCAAGGAACGAGCTCCCCTTTAATGAAGAGAAAGCTATGTGGAGAAATGCTTTGCTGCAAAGAAATCCAAAATGAAATTTGCGGTAATTTTTAATAGCGATGAATTGCATTTTGAATATTAATTTTGTAGGAATCCTTCCCTGCATGAGTAGTTTCTTGATAGCAAATGAAAATGTAACTAGGTTCAGACATTTACAATTATTGATATAATTGGTAAGGCCAATGACCGGGCCCAAATCTATTCTAATTTTCAATATGAAGAGTGAGAACGGATGAAAGGGATTATGGAATCCGCGCGCAGAAAAGGTGTTGAATTGTTTTTTTTTTTTGTGAACTTATTTTTGAAATAAAATTGATCATGTGAACTTCTAAATCGTCCAAATCAAATGTACTCTAGATTACCCCAATGTGACCTAAAACAAACTTTAACACTAAACCAAGTATAAATTTTGCAAAAACATATAAATCTTGTTCGAAAGATAGCTCAAACAAATTGGGAATAAAATATGTATAATTTAATGTGCATTACATTCTAATGTAACTAAAGAAAAATATTAATTATGGAAAAGAACCATCTATCACGTAAGATATATAAAATGTTCTTCTACAATTATTACGTAATGTGAACACAACTAACACAATTTACAAGTAACAAACTTGTAAATTTTGTGTGATGCAACCTATATTGGGAACTTATATCGTCAAAAACTAGTTAATTAATTAATTATTATTAATTAATTAATATATTAATAGCTCAAGTAAACTAAGGGCCTGTTTACTTTCATTTCTGTTTCCTGTTTTTGAGAAAACAGATGTTGAAAACAGGTGAAAACAACATTTTGGTGTTTCCGAAAACAGCAGGAAGTTGCCACTTTCTGTTTTCATAGTTGGAAACGAATAGAAAACAGAATGAAAAGTAAACAAGTTTTCTCATTTTGGTTGCCAAATTTATCACATGAAAACAGAAAACAGGAAACGAAAATGGAAGTGAACAGGGCCTTAATGTTTAATTTTACGGGATGAGATTAGATGCTAACTGATTAAAGGGTTAGCACGGTACTAACCACTTCTCTGATCGTAGGATTAAAATATCAATCTAAGAGTGAGAATTAAATGGAGATTACTTCTCTCGCCCTCTCTCTCACAATTCCCTCTACAAGAAAATGACTCACGGCCTCCCCTCTCTCTACGGCAAACCGCTCCTTGCTACTACAAAGATTATAGATCTAGAATGGAGGTCGAGGTCGCTGCTGCTATCTACCAGTGAGGGACAGCGGAGCAAAACGGAGGGAGAGTTTCATCGAGATCCATCCCTTGCTACTACGGCATCGTCGATATCGTCAGCGTCCCACGCCACTAGCGTAAACGAAGACGATGGGCTGGAGATGTGGTGCGATTCCACAAAGAGCCCAATATTCATCAATCACCGCCGCATTGAAGTCAATTCCGCCGGCAACGGCGCCGGGTTGTCAGCGTCTCTTGCTCTTATTCCGCCCGCAACGGCGCCTATCTTGCCTGCGTTGGCTTCCCACCACGATTGTCGTCCATCGCTCGAGGATAGCATGCGTGGCGGAAGAACGAGAATTTTTTCCATATCTATATTAGTAATTGATTAGTAGTGATTTTGGGTTAGTAGTGATTGTGGTGTATTGTTTTTCATATGTATTAGTAGTTATTCTTATTGTAATCAACAGATGAGCAGTGATATTTGTAAAGTAATAGTAGGGTTTTGTATATTAGTAGTAATATTTGTTCTTTGTAGTACTTTTTTTTCATTTACAGTATTATTCTTTCCAAATATCATCAACTTCTTCTATATAAAAAACGCTATTAAAAACAACGAAATCACTACAGATTATTATAAAATCAATACAACATCCAAGCTAAATCACTACTAATTCAAACTAGTAGTAGTTTTTTTCTAGCATTTTTTCATGTTAAAGTTCTTTGTGAATGAGGAGAGAGATAATTAAAATTTAAATTATTTATTAAATTTAATTTTACTAAATACCAATAAAGCCCTCCATTGATCTTGATTAGGACGGTGCTAACTCTTATACAATTAGCACAGTAACTCTTCACTTATTTTACTGTTCAATCCGAAATGCCATTTATGATCAATTGTGGCCCGAGTTAATGAGTTACTGTTCATGATGAATTTTGATGATGTAAGCGGGTGCAACGTGTACCCAAGAGACTTACCTGTAAGCTAGCAGCAGCAAAATAGCGCAAGTGCAATTGCACTATACCTTACAAAATTGTAGGGAAACAAAAAATTTTATCTTCATAATGTAATTAATATATTAATTACATTAAAGTTTTTCAAGGTTAATTTTTTTACACCAGTTTAATCAAATTTTATATCTTCTTAATGCAATTTATTTATTTGACCACAACCTCTTTATCAATAGACCACATAGAAAGAATTAATTAAAAGCACAAGCAGCAAAAAGATCGTGTCACTGTTCCCAAAGAAAATTTCGGAAGTTACTGTTCATCAACGAGTTTGTGGTATTTACCGCGTGTGGATTTAGTTGAGACTGTTGGATCTAATACCCATCCATGCTTCTTTGAATGGAAATCCTTGATGTCCGACCCTCTTCTCACTTTCATTCCAATCGAAGATGAGAAGTAGAACGAATATCCTTTCGTGTTTCATTCTACTCCTGTCCTCCGCCTAGGCTAAAAATCTACGAAAATTGCAGAAAGCGGCCGATGGAACATGCAGGCGAATTTGTGCAACACTGTTTAAATAATTACAAATAAGACCTCATAAACAATATTCTACAATTGTTACATAATTATTATGAAAGATTTGTGTAATATTATTCTACAACTGTTACATAATTACTATAAAATATTTGTGTAACATTATTCTACAACTGTTACGTAGTTACAAATATTAGTTTTTTTTACACAACCGTTTAATGGCCATTATATTATAATTTCTTAATATTATTTTATCATTAGACCATAAGCTCTTTATCATTAGACCACACAGTACGAAAGATAATGTTACGTTATTACAAATATATTATATCAACCTCCCAAATTGTCTATATTATTTGCATTACACTAAGGTTTTGTAAGGTAAGTTATTTTTTACATAACAATTTAATCAAATTTTCTATTTTTCTTAACTTGATTTCATTATTAAACCACACCGTACGAAAGATTGTGTACTATAAAAGTTGTGTAAATGCAAATATGTTATATAAAGCACTGAAATTTAACATAAACTACTTATTATTTGCATTAGACAAAGGTATTGTATGATTATTGGTTTTATACATAACAGTTTAATCGAATGCAATATTTATGTTAACTTTATCTTATTATTAGATCAACAGTACCAAACATATGTGTAACACTACACTTTGAAAGTTATGTAATTTCGAATACATTGTATAAAACTTATGGAGGGGTCTCTTATGTATTACTTAGACAGAACCTACTAACGATTCAGTAATATCTGTTTGAATGAAAATTCATTTATTATTAATTGAACTGTTTATCATAACATCAATTCGCAAGACGTACAAATGTTTTGTAATGTAAGTTATTGTTTTACATAACAATTAAGTCATAAGACATTATAAAACTATTGAGGGATATTTATTTTTTATATATCATTCAAACAAACATATTGTGTATGTCTTTCGTCAGGATTAAGACATGTAATTAGTTTTTTGCCGCTGCAAAGCGCTGGCCAAGAAACTAGTAATAACTAACGAGAACTATCGAGTTTCAAAAAAAAAAAAAAAACTAATGAGAACTATCATTGATTCCGAAATTAAACTCCGCAGCTAACTATGACCACTTTGTTGACCGCTATTAGAAACGAAACATGAGTTCTTATTTGGGAATAAACGCACAGACAAAATAGCCAAGTCCCCAATCCTAGTCGTTTTCTTTTGGTTTCAGTATGAAGTAACGGTCCATTCGACAAAGTTGCCACAGGTGGCCGGTGGTAGCTGAAATTCTATTTCTTGAAACTCAAGCTAGACACCTGTCACATTCTTTCGCTGTAGACATTATGATGCTTGTTTCTGCAGATTTCTTGATCTCTATTCCTAAAATGACAAAGAAGACAAACCCTGTAAGACTATATATAGCAAAGTTCCACTCACCCTCTTCCATCACAGCGCAAATAAAGCATTTGCATACTCCTATTAACTCCACCTCTACACCAAGATATACCCTTATCCCCAACAACAAACGATGAAGAACAGCGTGATGATCATCTTCCCAAACATCCTCATTGTTGCTATCTCCGCTTCCCTTTTCATGTATCTCGCAGACAGTAGAAGCCCCGCATCAATCACTTGCAGCACTGTCGAACTTAATGTGACCGAGAGGTCTTGTGTTCGATTCCCGCTGACCCCCATTTGTTAAGCACATGTTATTCTTGTCTTCAGACCTGTGCAAACTTCAAGCCCTTGTTAGTGGCTTTCGTTTGAGGGGGCGCGTTAGTGTTGTGGTATATGATCCACGATTGAACCTCTCCCAACAACTCGAGTTATTGGGATCAACTGGTTCTTGACATGGTATCAGAGCTGGTTTGTCCTTGAGGTCACGTGTTCAAGTACTCACGACCCCCAATATTAACCGTTGTCTTCAAGCACATGGTATGGCGGGCATGTGCAAACTTCAAGCCCATGAGTCGGCTTTCGTTTGAGGGGGCGTGTAAGGAAGTGGTTAAGTACCATACACGGCCTGTATAAGATCCAACATAACCTTCTCCCAACAACTCGAGTTATTGGGACCAACTGGTTTATGACACGCCGAAGGCGACAAGCCCACGATCGACCCCAAGTGCTGCATCGGTCTCCAAAATCTCGTAGCAACTGCAACCTCCAAAGACGACAAGGTGACAGCATGTCATTGCTAGGAAGATGCTTTCCAGAAGTTTCCTGCTATCCAGGACCAGTATATGAAAGCGATTCCAAACCTATGCAACGTTACGGTTCCTTTCCCTCTCTCAAAGGAGATGAAATGTGACAAGTATAAGTAGACTCACTACCTAACACCATGGAACAGGAAACCGGATCGTACCGGCCGGTTCAACCGGGAATTGGACCAAAAACGATACGATAGGCTGGTGGAGGGCATTTTATCGTTTCGGTCGATTTTTGCGGTTCAACCGGCACAACCCGGCATACCGCCCGGTTTCTTTCCAACCGGCGGTATACTAGAATTGAAGGAAGCGCCGCCCTTTCATCACTTAAAATTAAAAAGAAAAACCATTTAAGAAAAACCCTAATCTCTAATCGAAGGGAATCGGGAGGGAGCTTTCTTCGTTTTTTCTTCCCTAGCCCTGCCTCGCCGCTTCTCCTCTCCTCTAGCGATCCGCGACCAACGACCTGTGGTGCTGCAACCCCTGGCCGGCTAAACAAACGAGGCAAGTCGGCAACCCAAGACCGGCGAAAGGTCGAGCCGACCCTGCTCCGCCCCGCTGCCGTTCCTCTTCTCTTCTTTGACGAGTGGCGACTGAGAACCCGCGACCAGCGATAGATCGAAGGCCATGTTTGTGGATTTCCTGATCTAGATTGATATCTGGTGGAGGAAAAGCTACATGCATAAAGAAAGAAAGGTGCTCAGATTGTCAGAACTTAGAAGAGAAAAAAGAAAGCAAAACAGAGCTTCATCTTGCTCTGGATCTGGGTTAGGGATGAGAGAGAGGCGGAAAGGGAAGAGAGAAAGTGAAGGATATGTGGATGTGGTAGTAGGTGTAGAGATAATGAGAAAAAGTAACTCAAAAAGAAAGAATAAATGAGTGAAAATTAAATTATTAGTTCATTAATTATTTGTTAGACAAGGGATAAGGATCAAGAAAGCTCCATTGCTAAGGTAGTCAAAGAAGAAGACTTAGAAAATGAACGCTTGCTTATTTTTCTAGTTTGTTAGAGTGGAAAATTAGGGACAACAATTGGGGGTTTATTGGAATCATTCGAATGAAACCGTATCATAAATCTAGTATATTCCTATTTAGTTTATTTAGGTTTGTTATCCGGTATATTCCGGTATTCTCCGAAACGGTATCCTAAATATGGCGGTATGGTTTTTTAACAAAAAAATATTTTTTAATTACAAAAACGGTATTTTGCCGGTACACAACGGTTGAACCACGGTCGTACCACAAAATACCATACCACTGACGGATCCGGTATGACTTCCGGTACAGTTTCCTTTACCATGCCTAACACCAACTCTCTAAATTTTCAATAATGCTTGAAAAATATTTAGCAAATTCTATTCACGAATATTGATCTAACATTACTTTTTCTCATGTTTTTACCGCAACATCACACAAATCACCACCACCTATTAGAGCCACATCCCAAAGTTGAATGTATTTCGAGAAAAAAATCGATCAACATCTACATGGTTACTAAGCCGTAAAATTATTTCGAAGTACTTGTATATGTTCAATTGATACTCTATATTGTATACGATAAAATGTAAGAAAGAAGTAGCTTATTTCCCTACAATCTACATATTTAGTTATAATATTATTTTCTCCATTTTATCCATTTATAGTCGATCCCTTATATGGGTTGTGTATGTTAAAGATAACTATATATGTATACCATTTCTAAGAAAATTGTACTAAATGTGTCACTATACATGTCTCACATAATTTAGTTTTCCATGCTTCTTTGCTATTAGGGAACTTTTCAAAATTCGAGTATGTCGTGTTCATTTCCAATTTAGACAAAGAAAACGTACTTAATTATGAAACAAACCTAAGATAAGGTTTTTGGATTTAATGGAGGGTTTTGAAAAACCCACCATATTTTATAGAAACTATCAAAACAAGGATCGAGCTTCACGTGTGAGTTGTGGGGTTTTGTTAACAGCAATGGCTTGTTTCACGTACTCACCACTCTTACCCGCTGTCTTCTACAAAATGCCTACAAGCTATGTATTTTCTCCATCCGACATTCAAATTCGGCCAGATGGATAATGACGATATCTTGTTTGTATAAAAAAAATTAGAGGGTTGTTATTTGCCGACCGATAAATTACTAATTGCCGCCCACAGTTTTAAAATATACGATGATTTGCCCTTTATTATTAGGAAACCCTCCCACCAATACCGTCGTCTTTCCTCCCTTGTCGGAAAATCGTCGTCCAGCACAATACCCTTCTTCCTCCTGCCAACGCCAACCCTTACCCCTTTCACACATTGCTCCCCGCCCAACACTTCCTCCTCCTGTCCCTACCCGACAACAATTCACCGCCGACCACAAACCAACCCCCAAAATCCATTCCGACATCGTCATTGTCTTCCCGACATCGTCGTCTCCCCATCGTCAACGGAGGTCAGTGGTGGGACATCGGAGTCTTGACGGAGTAGGGCGGTCCAATCTGCGGCGTCGAACCTCGTCCGAAAGTCGAAATGGAGAAGGAGAGGAGGCAGAGAGGGTGTTCAATGGGAAGCGAAGTTTGAGGGAGGTTAATTGGAGAGAGAAAGTTATTAATATTATTGTTTGTTTTTATATTAAATGATAATGGTATAGGATTCTGTCGTAAGTGAGATAATGGATTTTTGACTGGTATCATTATTAAATCGATATTAATATATTTCATTTAATTAGGAAAGGGGCTGATCCGGCTTTTGTAGAGAGAAAAAAAGAGACAAGAAAGGTTCTGAAAGGCGCTAGGGTAAGGCAGGCGCTCGGCTCCTGACTTGCGCCTTGCTCGATTAGGCGTAGGCTAGGCGCGCCTAGGCGTTCACAGCATAAATGGAAAAATTCTCAAATATTTCCTGTTTTTTGGAATAATTCATATAATCCAAGTGCATATAAAATTAGCAATGCCTAGTTATTAACAGTAAACACTTAACATAACAAATAACAAACAAATAGTGACCAATCATCTGCTAATAGGTGCTTATAGAGGCAAGAAGCTTGTGCTACGTACCGAGGAGAAGACGCGAGCATCAATTAACGAGTTTTGACTTTATTTCCCACTATAACAGCGGAGCGGTGTGAAGGCGAGAAGAGTGATCGATGACTTTCTCCTGCGGCGGCAGAGAGCAGCAAATAGGGCAAGATCTAGGGCGGCAGACGGTAGCAGATGGGGCGAGAGCTAGGGCGGCAGGCGGCAGCAGATGTTACTTCCCGTGTTTCTGATTTTCTAGGGCAAGAGCCATGTTTATGATTTTCTAGAACAAAACGAACATTATTGGGTTTAACCGTCAAAGCTCGCCCGGGAATGCCAAGGCACGCCTTCTCTCCACTAGGCGCAAACTAAGCGCTATTCCTACCTACTAAGCGCTATCAGCGCCATTTACAACGCCTATGGCTAAGTCAAAGCGATCCTCCACCGCCTAGCGCCTAATTTAGCCTAGGCGCGCCTTCTTGAACCCTGGAGACGAGCACAGAAGCCCTAGGGTTCCCTCAGCCTATGCTGGCGATGCATACATCGCTGGCCGGGCAGGAGGCTCCGACAGCCCCATGGTACGAGAAACCGTTGCAGGACAACGCAGACCAACAACAGAATCATCCTAACCGAATCCGAGATGAGATAGAGAGGCATAGCAGACAAAGAAATGAGCAAAGCAATCGGAACCGTTGGTTGATGAAGAACTAATTGATGCGGAGACCCCTAGCCAGAAGAACCGACGTTGCATAGCCGAACCGATCGGCATGGGGAACTGGTTCGGGGGTAGAGAGGAGGTTGTTTGGAGAGCAAGTAAGACAAGGTGTGTGGTATATAGCCGATTCAGACTCTTGAGGATATGGCGGAAGTAGTGAGGCAGGAGGGTCTGGACGCAGGATTCGAGGGAGATCCTAAATGTCCTATCTATTTTACGTCAGCTGAAGAAAGAATGTTCAACAGGGAATGGAGGTCCGCCCTTGTGGTGAAGGCGTTAGGGCGCTCTGTTTAGTACACGTTAATGGCAAAACGGCTGAATAGTATCTGGGCGAGGGCGGGAACGTTCCAAGTGACGTCAGCAAAGAAGGGATATTTTCTGGTTCGATTCACCAGTGGCGTGGAGTACGAACGGGCGGTAACTGGAGGCCCTTGGATGGTGGGGGATAATTATCTTACATTACACCAATGGACTGAGAATTTTAACCCGTATGAGCATGAGATATCATCAGGCCTTGTTTGGGCGCGACTGCTGGAAATCCCAATTCAGTACTTCCATCCAGTAGCGGTGATGAAAATCTGGAAAAGAATTGGAAAACTGATCCGGGTGAATCAGGCAACGAGTACAGGGGCACGCAGTGACTATGCCCGAGTTTAGCTTGTGGGGGAAGAATTTATCCAATACGAAGGGTTAGAAAACATATGTTTGCAGTGTAGTACGTACTATGAACTTGGATGTTGCTCATGCATTCAACTGACAGTGGTCAAGAATACGGAAATCGTCCCGACGGAGACCATCCCAGTGGCTACGGAGAAAGCTCCTATTTATGGTGAGTGGATGATAGCGAAGAGGAGGTCACATCCACGCAAAGGATCGGCTGCCCAGAGTGCAGGGAATGAACAATCTAAGCCTAGCAATGGAAACGAGACACATGGCTCCCAAGGAGAATAAATATTTACGGTTCTCGCTGATGAAGAAACTGAAAACAGTAGTGAGAAGACTTCAGCTACTGAGACTACCCGTTCAGAAACATTGAATAGGGTGGCCCCGGGTGATCACCCAACGCGAAACCACAATCAAGGGAGAAGACAGGGGGGACAACAATTCAGAGAGTTCTAACCGGCCACTGAACAAAGCCCCTGAGAGCAGCAAGTTGAGAAGAAATTAAGAAGGGAAGTACCGAGGGCAAGTGAGCGGGAAGATGTTACTATCGAGAAGTCTAATACCGCTACGAGACTCCTTACCAAGATCACATCAACTAATGCTGAAGCTAGGAGCAGCCACCAAATGTGGAGCAGCAACGGGATGGTGTATCCTCAGACAGGACTAACCCGGTGATGCAAGGTCACCAAACGCGCCCCGTGACGATGCCGGGCTCCATAGACAAAAAACCACAACTAAGAACACAGTGGGATCGACCCATGAGTCACTAAAAAAAAGGAGGTTTGGGGACCACAAAAGTCGTCCCCGAAAATAGGAAAAATCCTCCCTATAGTTTTTGGGGACGACTTGTGTGGTTCTCTTTACTCTTGTCCACTATTCTTTTGGGGACGACAACACTCTAGGTCGTCCCCATTACTTGGGACGACAGTCGTCCCCGATACTAGCAAGTTGACATCTCATTTCTTTGCCATCAAAGAGAACATGTCGTCCCTAAAGCTAAAACTGTAGGGACAATAAGTCGTCCCCTAAACATCATTTCCAGGGACGGAGTGTTGCCCCCCATATTCGATTTCATTGTTATGTTGGGTCTATATGGGGACAACTTGACATGTCATTCCTATTCGTATCATATTTAAGTCAACAAATTGTGCCCAAAAGTTATAATATTTGACAACAACGAGTCTTTTATACTATATTTTTGGAGACAACAAGTTGCCTTCTAAGCCACCTTTAAGAACAACTAATGGTCTCTACACTTGTGTATTTGTATATACAAATTACGGAACTTGTAGGACGATTAGTTATCCTTTACCTATGACATGAGAATGACTAGTTTTATCAGCAGTGTTGGGAGATTGCAGAAGACGGAATAAACTCACTGTTTTATCAGCGGTGTTGGGAGATTGCAGAACCAGCAGTGGTAAAATTTGCGCAAGCATGCTGGCAGGAACCTTCTAGGGTTCAGGAAATAAAAGATACCATTGTGGCCTTAATCCAGAAAATAAAGAGCCTTACGCTGATT